CCATATGCTGCCTGGAGTGGTTTGGAGAAAAGAGCTCTCCAAAAAAGACCATGGAGGGCCTTCAACGCCCAAAATACCCCAGCTGGAATTCTAGGAGTGGAAGTCCCCCCATACTGGCTGGGGTATTCTGGGAGGTGAAGTCCATGCATTTTAAAGTTGCCAAGTTTGAGAAACACTGCTGTAGATGATCTAGCGGATTCGTTATCTTCTTCCACGTTCACCAGGAAGAAGGAAAAAACCCAGCTCAGACTGCACGGCATTCATGGAGCTTTGAGTCACAGCAGTTCCTATCTCATCACTTTTATTCTCAACATCTTCCTTCCTTCCTTCCTTCCTTCCTTCCTTCCTTCCTTCCTTCCTTCCTTCCTGCCTGCCTGCCTGCCTGCCTGCCTGCCTGCCTGCCTGCCTGCCTGCCTGCATTGCTTTGCACTGCCATGGTTCCTCTTCATTCACTGACAATCTGGGAGATTTGGACGGGTGGAGGTGAATGGCTCACTTTTGCACGCCTCCTTTTGCTCTTAGCCATTGCCTCATGTTTTCATAGACGAGACCCTGTTGCTCTCAGCTGCGCATGAAAGGCCCCCAGACTGAACAGTTGAAGCATTGTGCTGAGATCAAAGCTCTAGGAACTGAGCTAGATTTTAATTGAAGTGTTCATAATTTTCAGCATAATGACCTCAGAGGTTATTCCACCTACTTGTTTACCATATCGGGCCTGCAAACAAGCTTTTGATTGTTTGGTGCTGGTGGACAGATGTCTCATCGGTAGCATGCAGCTTTGATGTTGTTGGGTTCTTCTTAGAAACAGAAGCTCTAGGGAAGGAGAAAAGATACTTCCTTCAAAGCAAGAGACGGGGAGTGGTGTCTGCTCCTAAATTGAGATGCAAGCATTGTTGCTTGCCAGTTATTCTCGTTCCTTGTGTTTTTTTGGTCCCTTTGAGTCAATGCTGATTCCTGGCGACTGCCTGGACTAGTCCCTGCAGTTTTTGGAAGTGGTTGCCCCTTGCCTGCTTCTTCCTAGGGCTGAGAGAGGGACTGGCCCAAGGTCACCCAGCTGGCTTCGTGCCTAAGGAAGGACTAGAACTCCCTGCCTCCCGGTTTTCAGCCCAGTCCCTTAACCACTACACCAAACTGTCTCTCTCCTTTTCAGCAATAATTAATTTAAAAATGGGTCCTGGTCGGAGAATCCAAACTTCCAAAGCACCTGAGCCTCCACAAATAGAGACATCAGGTTTGTCCCCCGCTAATGCTCACACATGACATCCCCTATAAAAAGAACAAAGGAATCGCTGTTGAAGGTTGATGGGTTGAGAAAATTAGAGCACAATTCTCAAGGTCACCAGTAGTGGCTGTTATCACTAACAGCTGCTACGGCTGCAATCGGGCCTCCCATTCATAATGTCACAGCTCCGTACGGGGCATAGATCTGTCCTAGGAAAGCCATTCACGGAAGAGCAAAAAATCCCAGAGGCCGCTTTGGGCCGACTGTGCAACCTTGAGCCCATCCCGCCCAGTAAGTCAGTGGGACCAAGCCCAGTGATGTTACTCGGGAGCAAGTCCCCTTGGCTCTCAACCCCCTGCTAAATCCTCTCCCAGGACCTCTCCTAAACAGGTTTCAGATTGCAGTCTAATAAGAAATGCATTGTTTCCTTGCCTGCATCATTGGTGTCCTTCAACAAATCCATTTTGGGGATTCTCTAGGGAAATCTACCCCCGGATTACCACATCAGCCTCATTGACATCGGCCTGGTGCTAGAGTATCTCATGGGAGGGGCCTATCGTTGCAACTATACACGGAAGAGATTCCGAACCCTCTACAACAATTTATTTGGACCCAAAAGGGTAACGCTTATTCTTTGCAAAATGTGCTTCACCGGAATTAAAGCTGTCCTTCCCCCTCCCTCTGCCCCATGCTTTAATCTCTGCGTCCATAGGAGATGTGAAACTTCTCCTGATCTCCTGATTCCTTGGAAAAGATGTATGACTCCTGGGTTACATCCTTGACGCATTTTTTACTCTGGAAAGGGGGTTGATGTTTGCAAGCTGGCAGCCTTCTTAGGGTTTTCGCCTTTAAGACGAGATGTAACCTGTTACTTAAAAAAAAAAAAAGTAAGAAGAATTTCAAAATGTCTTCAGATCTATCTGAGGAATGGAAAGAGACTAGCATAGCATGGGTGGGGTCCAGAATATGTCAGTTAGATCTGAGCTATTGAAACCTCAATGTGTAATTTTCCAAGGTCCATTGGTAATGTGTTGGCCAAGTTGATATAAATCAATATATATATATGTCTGTTATGATAAAAACAGAGTTGGCATCTGGGATGGCCACAGAGCCTCATTCCTAGGCTAACATCTCGGCTGCTAGTGGGTAGGTGTTTAACTGGCCCATAAGAAGTGAGTGTTGTTATCCAACTTCCCAGTGAATCCGATCGGTTGACCTTGACAAACTCTGAATCCAATTCATTGTGTCTAATGAACTCTAGGTAGTCCCCAGTTTAAGGCTGAGTTCCATTCCCAAGGTTTGTCCTTATGTT